AAAAATCACGTCTTTCAAAAGGGCACTTTTTTGGACTGAGGGCAAAAGGGCAAGTGCTTCAGCACCACCTCGTCTCTATCTGTGCACGCCAGTGGTTGTAGTTGTATGTTATATTATATTCATACATGTTATATTAAACAGTATGAATATACCATTAAATAAGAGAAATATGACTACTAACTGTTAAGAGATAAAAATAGTTTTATGGCCAAACTGAATATTGTGTATATTTTGATGATTTACAGTTCAGTGTTGGACACTTTTTGTTTTGTCCTGGTATTGATGCATCTTGACCTGTTACGTTGCCATTTAACGCATACAAAAAAAAATAAACACATGGAAAGGCAGGTTTGCAATAAAATTCAGCCACAGTAGTTGTGGTTCAATGTGATGGAAGTAGTCGGCATACCTCATCCGGGAAGTCCTTGGGATGTGGGGAAGTGAATCGGATCCTCATGTCTGGATCAATGAGGGACACCCTGTCCAGCAGGTCTGCGAAGCGCAGGCCTCCCGGGCGAGGCCGGTACACCGTGCTAAAGCCGTGGCTGAGCGGGGCTGCCTCCGGCCCGCAGAACCGCAGCTCTGACGTGTCCCTGTAGCTGTTCACATTCTGACCCAGCAGTGTCACCTCCTTCACCCCCTGCAGGAAAATGGCAAACCTCACAAAACACGCTTACTTACAAATGCATGCATGCACATCATGAACGGAGCACATTCTGTTGGCAGGACAGGAACATTTACTATTTAGAATTATTACATTTTTAATATGAAGCAATGTACAGAAAGGTCTGTTTTTATGGTTCATCTGTTCATACTGACTTTTTTTATATAGATATCATACAGGTTATATTCCTTTGGTAAAAGGCACAGTGCGGTTCCTCCACACACCTGCTCAGAGAGAATGCGCACTTCCTGCAGGATGGAAGGGGCAGGTCTGCTCCTCTCCCGGCCACGTGTGAACGGCACGATGCAGTAGCTGCACATGTTGTCGCAGCCACGCATGATGGAGCTAGAGCAGGACCACCGATAGAATCGAGGCGCAGTGACTAACTGCAATGCAGTAGAATAGCTCAAATAAACAGTAAGTGTTAGAGTAACCATATGGTAACAGTGCTATACTCACACAAAGGCACTGTGACCCTGAGTAACGTGATGGATGGGCATGACATCTGCGTAAGTCTCCTCCAGGGAGAGAAGAACATTGCTGCCCCTCTGACCGCCATGAGCCAGCGAGAGAAGGCGAGGCAGGTCCCGATACGCATCTGGGCCGACCACAATGTCCACCAGCTTCTCCCGCTCTAGAAGATCGGTTTTCAGCCTCTCTGCCATGCAGCCTGGACACACACACAGATTTGACATACAGATCAGTACACGTAACAAAATAACTTCAATGTTATTTAAACAAGAAATATACGCCTAGAATAAACTTGCTCATCTTGCCATCTCCTAAGGCGGATGACTTTGTCAACAAGCAACTCAGTCACCTAAAATCCCTATTTTCATCGGAGTTTCAGCTTTTGGTCGTCTCTTTTTCTGGGCTGCAAGTTGTTGCAGTCTGTTCCAAATGGCCTGCTCTGCCTTCTCTCTGAAAATACCAAGAAAACACAAAACAATTACTTTAGAAAGATATGTATGCACTCTGGGTGACAAAGATTTCTTCTGCAAGAGCGAAGTTCTACCTTACAGAACAAGTTACCAGAAGGACCACGTCTGCCTGCAAGAAAATGAATCATTTCTGAATTTTTGAAAGAGCCGCAAAAACAACTTAGCACCACGTGACTATCTAAGGTCTTCGGTTACCTGCGAAAGCTCGCTTGTGCGCTGGTACCCTGTCCTCTGCAGAAAGGACCACGCAATCTCTGTATCGTTCACATTCATCTGACAGCCGTAGGTTTCGAAGTACACTGAAACGATTCGTTCGGTTCTGAACAGTTACAGACGGCTGGATAAACACAACTATTAAGACTAATAATAACATGTACTTTGTCTCAATTTAGGTCAGAAAATAATGGCCAACCTTTCCTTGAATTCCCCATGTGCGGGTCCTCTGAAAGATAGGGAGGCATGTCCTCTAGCTGTTGTTGATTTTTAGAAAAGTTTTCTTTTAACGAAGCATTTCTTATAAAATCCTGGAATTTTGGGCCGGTTGCTAATTTAGTCTGGATATTATTGGCATTATTTGCTGTTATTTCTTTTATTGTCGAGCAGCAATACCGTCGCTTTGCGGGCAATCCTACAAACCGCTGCTGTAGTACGCACATTAAAGGTCTTACACAGTACGTGTTATTCATATTTATTCCAAAACGTTATAAAGTAATAGGCATTACTTTAAATTCCTGTATGGCTATTTTGATTTTCTTTCTGTCTAGCTTGCCAAACGGGCAGCGAGCAGTTGATGAGCAGAAAGTTTTTCAGCAGCTGAGGTAATTCAGTATTATGATTGTAACCCAAACGACTTGTCACCATGCGACACAGCTGTCAAACTGCCTTATTCGTGTCCCTCTGTGTAAATACTCCGTAAGAAACGCACTCTGGTGTCCTACCCGAATACCTTCCGGAGTGATGCGTGGAACGACGAGACTAGAGTACCGTGTTTCTCTGTTATATACTGCAGAAGTGCTACTTAATAGTATCTATATGGTTCATATTAGATCAGGTGTCCTCTCGACCATGCCCTGGATGCATACCTGTCAAGTTTTGGATATGAAAATAAGGGAAATTTTCCGGCACCCACCGCGAGCCATCCCACCACCCCAACCAAGCTCCAGTATCCCTTACATTTTAAGACAGGTGTACAAGAAATCTAAAATA